GATGACGGCAATGAAAACACTACAATGCTGTTTTCACCAAAAACAAACACATGCATATTGAATCCTGGAGGAAAACTACAGACTCATGGTGATTACCTGTGACTGCATTAGCAGAGAACTAGATTCCTGGCTCAGCAACGACATGCCATTTATAGCATAAAAGCAAGTCATCCTCAAAATTGAGCTTGTTTTAAGTAGACCAGTGATGGTCTTTGTAAGTGAAAGCAGGTTGGAAATAGACATGGGGATACTGGAGCTAAAAAGAATATCTACAGAGAAAAGTGCATATGGGAACCTGGGACCTGTGCTGATGTTAAAAGCTCAGTTTAGCTGGTCACCCTATAGTGCAGCATCACACCCAGCCCATGATCATACTCACTGTATGCCCAAAGGAATGGGTAGAGGCCAGTCAAGAAGAAAGGACAGAAAAGATCATCACAACACTGAGTAGACCTTTGTCTCTACAAAGATCTTCAGTACAGAGGTGACTAGAAAGTCCTCTTGGTTCCAGGAGTTACCTAAAACCACCCATACAGTGGGAAGTTTAGGTATGAAACAACAGAGGTCGGCAATTCACACAGCTCCTAAGTAGAAAAGGACTTGATACAAATAGCAATTAATAACGCTGCAGTAACTATTACTTCAGGCATAAGCCATCAAAGCAGAGCACGCAAAGCCAGGGGCATGCCTGAGGTCAGAAGTACGGCACTGCAATGAGATGAGGAGTTCAAGGAGACCCACACTCTGTAACTGGAGGGCAAACTGCCTTCAGCCTGAAGCGAGCACAGCTCTCCATGAGAAATGGGGAGACTTGAGAAAACTGCTCAGAGACTATGAGATGCAGGATGATACAGCGCAGATGCAGCAGGAAAATACTATGACCTACTACAGAAAATCCAGAGAGGCTCATGGGAACGTGGGACCCAGCAATAAAACCCCTAGATCATACAGACAGGCCTGCAGAAGAATGCCAGGAGTCTCAAGGTATGCTGGGGAGTAAACCGGACCTGTTCAACACAAGACACAAAGCCAGTGAAGAACATGGTGAAAAAACATAGACTTTAACAGTAACACATTGAGGCGGACAACTGTAACTCCCCACATCGCAGGAGTCTTGCTATTTTTGCTGAGTGAATTTTAAGTCTGAGGAAGAGGGGGATAAGATGAGCACAAGGAGAGAAAATTATAACTGCTGCAAAGACTGAACAAATGGGGAAGAGGATGCAGAGACCAAACACCCAGTGCCCCAAACTGGTAACCTGGGAGCAATTCAGAGACACTCACTTGGCCATAAGCTGCCAAAATAGCTGACAATGCACAGGACAAACCAGGACTTCCACACAGCCACTGAGTTCCCATTCACAGAAAAAGAGAAAGTCAAACACATGTGGAACTAACTAGGTAATCGCATTTTCTCAGAACATCAGAGCCACTGGGCACAAAAATGAGCCAGAGCGAGTACCCAAACACAAGTTATCTTCATAACCCCCTGGCACTTAAACACTGTCACCTGAAAAATGCATCATGACACAAGTATTAGAAGAATGACCATCCACACAAAACATGCATACCAGGAAACCCAAGCGCTGCACGCTGCTGCTGTGGCACCACATCACTGCATTTAATAGTGTCAGGCAAAGCAACTCAGTTCCTTTAAAAACCAAATCATTCACACACTTTTAGAACTGCTAGTGAAGTTCTTAGATAACCACCGCATTGTGTTTTACTATTACCTACGGAAGAAGAATGGCAATACCTATATCTATATATGTGCCTTTCCTTTCCGTTTGTAAACCACATAAGAAAAGCCACACGAACTACAGCACACATCAGCCAAAGCCACACGAATCTTGTTTAGCGGACACCCTGCTCTGTTACATGAATGCACAGACACACACGCTCAGTAACAGAGCAGTTCAAACGCATAGCCACCTCTTCAGAGCGAGTTTCAACTCCTGGATGAACGAGCACAGTGTGATGATAGGACTGAACCATAACAAAGGGACAAACACAGTGCTAGTAAAATGCAAAAATACTTCTGCAAGAATAAAGCTGCTCCTGCTGCTAAGCCAATCCTGTCCTCTACAAACATCACTCTGCAGTCATGGTGCTCTCTAGCCTCTGCTGAAGAACTGGACCCGAACAGACAGAGCCCTGCAGGAGCTGCCACACGATCAGCCCTTGGCTGCAGAACTTGCAGTCACTTCAAGGCACTGTGGGCTCAGTTTGCTTTTCTAACCAGAGGTTTGTATCATTTACAAACAAAAGACAGAAAGCCACATACTGAAGTCAAACATACGTGCTGTTTTCCCAAGTCTGCAGAGAGACTAAATAACAGCAGTGTGAAATGCAGGCAGCCCAGCTTCCCCTGAACACCAAATTCACTGCCACTAGAATCGCTGATGTTAACTATTTCACCGATGAGCAAGCTGCTCAGAACAGTTTGCTGTGGTACCAATCCCCAGTTCCAGCTATTGCACCATCTCCACCATCCCAGCAACCTTGCAGCATAGTTTTTACCTCAGTACGGTTTCAGCAAGCTGACAAGTTAAACTGATGTAACACACTGAAAACGCCACCCTACTTTTATTTCCAGTGGTATAAGGAATGCTGCAATAACAGCATGACTGTGCACATTAAAATAGGAGGATCTAGAGGCTTGTACAGTAGCTTGTACCCACCAAAGGAGATCCCCACTGTATATGTACCCTCCTCGTGTTCTTCCTTAAACATCCACTGCTGCCTGCTGCCAAAGGTGGGAGTGACACAGAGCTAGAAAGCTGTCTGACCTGACTGAAGGTGGTTGTTCTGGACAACATCCTTATCTCTGGGCATTGTATCTTCTTCTGCCTGGACCTCCCATTCCTGCACACTCAGACTCACGCTTCAGCAGCGTATTTGTTACCTTGGAGAAAAAATAAGCAGAGGGTATTGCCTGCAAACCATCATCTGCAGGCTCACAAAGTGAGGAAGGCAGTAAGAAAGTCAGAGAACCCAACCCAGGACAGCAGAAAAGAAAGGACAACATCAGTACAGAAGTGAGTGACTGCTCCACTTTGCACTTTACTCAGTTACAAGAATACGCCATCCTGGCAACACCACACAAGCTGATCTACAGGACTCTCTTTTAAATAAAATAGATAATCTTGACACATGGAAAAGGGAAAGTGAGTTCCAAACAAATGAGGCTTTCCTATAACGTCAAGAGTTTGGGAAGCACTGATGTATGGAATACAGCACCTGATACGCACAAAGAAAGCCCAAAGCACTTAGGTGAAAAGTGAGGAAAATTTGCCTGCTGACCATTGTTAAAGGCGTACATGGAGAAATAACTGCAAGAAACCTTTCCACAGATGGGCTGTGCTTTCCCTGCTTTCAGCAGGCCTTTGCTTCATGTCTAATAGCTGTGCTCCATCTGATTTCCACAAAGTACCTGCCTGTCAGAGCAAGCCAACAGCCTGTGCTATGTGCTCTTAGGGCTTGCTCAATGCCCAGCACTGAAGGAGTAGTTCCACTTCAGTGAAAAGTAGCTGAATGCCGTTCATCCCATTTAAGAAGTTAATAAGCCTTCATTTGATTACCAGCAATCTTAGAGATTATCCACTCAGACAACGGAACCAATGTGCTGAATTGTCAAGTGTTCCAGAAGTGGAGCACTGACAGAGCCTGATCCATTGCACAGTCACTGGAGAGATGAGCCCAGCGCCATTTCCAAGTACCAAAGCCTGTCGCAACCTGAAACAGAGGGCTGACAACATCCCAAAGGATTACCTCCAGGGCATCAAATTGAATAGCTATTACCCAATAAAAAGAAAGAACATTTTAAGCCTCTGCCTTTGAACACAACAAAAATTCACACAATGAACAGGAAGAAGTTAATTTCAAATGTTAATTTTGTCTATGAGAACAGAAAAACCGCACAGAAAGTTTATCAGAGAAACAGCCACACTGGCTCATTTTCTAGATGGGCACTTTTTCTTTCTAAACGGGCTGCCGTTTTCCTGAAGCACGGCAATTTGGCTTCAGCCACCCAAACCACACAGCTCTTTCATCATTCAGTATTCCCCACACCTATGAAACGCAGTCAAAGAAAAGCATTACACTGGTGGAGATGAGACTAAAAGGTCACATCTTTTCTTCTCTAGCCCTCTGCAATTGTGAGTCGTCTCCACTCTATTACATCCCCTTGAAATCCTGTATGAAGGTGGTCCCATCTTACAAGCATCTCCTATTGCTACAGATTTATTTGTTTTTATAGAGGAACATGAACATTTTCCCACCATAAATATGTACATAAGTACGTGTTTAAAATGTTAACGCTGCCAGCAAAAGCCATCGATAAACTGTTTTCAGCAGAGCCACGCATCTGATCTACCAACACCTAAATCTGATTCCTCTATAGGAAGGAGATGCTAAATCGGATTCATTTACAGAGATGACACTGACAGACACCAGCTTCTTAAAAACATAAATAAACAAAGACATCCGACCTGCAGGCCCCTGCTCCTCCACATACACTCCCTGATGGCGACGGGTTTGTGCTAGCCGTTTATTGCAAGCGAACCTGATAGCGAAGGGAGCTGGATGGAGCCACGCTCAGGTATGAGAATCAAACCCCTCCAGCCTCTCCCGGTCAGAGCCGGGGCCGCAGGACCCGCTACCACCCCATCCCCTAGTTACGCTCCTTCACCGAGAACTCGAAAGCATCCGAGGGGACGGCACCTGCTCACCCTACGCACGGAAGCCAGGGAAGTGCAACCGAGGTAGGAATGAGCCTCAGTTCCAAAGGATCTGCCTGCCCCCGGGGCTCTTCGGCCGCCGCGCTGCTGGGGAGCCGGGAAAGGCCCCTTCCTTCTCCTCGTAACCAGTCCCGCTGCCAGCCTGGGGAGCTGCCCCGCTGACGAGCGGCTGCTGCGGCCTCAGGGCCGGTGGCGGGCGGGGTCTCTCCAGCCCCTCAGGGCCGGGCGATAACAAAGCCCGGCGGAGGAACCGGCGCTCACCTGCCCAGCGGTCGCTTCATGCCCGTGCCGTCGGCAGCGGCGGGCAGGCGCAGGCTGTGCCTCAGGCTGCAGCCCTTGTCGAGCGGCGCGGGCGCGGCGGCAGCAGCGGCGGCAGCAGCGCGCTCATGCTCCACCGTAACCGACTCGTTGCGCTTCCTCATAGCCGGGGTGGTGGCGGCGGCGGGGGCCCGGAGCGGCGGACACGGCGAGAGCAGCAGCGGCGCCGCGCTCGCGCCGCACGGCGCCACGCCACGGCACGCCGGTGCCCCCGGCCAATCCCCGCCTCCAGAGCGGGCTCGGGGCGGTGGCGCCGCCTGCCAGCACTTCCGGAGGGAGCGCGGCGCCATCTTTACTGAGGGCAACAGCGCCCGCCGCCATCTTGTTGTGGCCTCGACGCGCGGGTGAGGGGCGGCGCGGCGCGGCTCCAGGGCGGTCTGCTGGGCCTGGGCGCTGTGGTAGTGCCGGGACCCTGCCGGCTTCGGGAGCGGGGCTGCCGGCGCACGTCAGGGTGTGCGGGGCCCTGTGCTGTGGTGGTGTGGCCTAGTGCAGGCACCTGGAAGTTGTCCCCGCTGCTGGAATAGGAACCCGTGGTGACTGAAATGTTGGCACGCCAGCACCTGAAGTGGACTCCCGGCTCGCAAGGGTCAGCAGGAGGATGGGTGAGCCTGGCATCATAAACTGCTTCAGTGTGAACAGCCATTAGGACATGGAGAAACAATGCAGTTGGAATGAAAGAACCTGGTCTGCATGGGCCTGAGAGACCCTGCTTGGGGCTACAGCACATGTGTGAGCATGGGGAAACGGCCCAGCTGATACAGGGATGTGGAGAGAGGTAAAACTCTGACTCACACTAGCAGCGTGGGGATTCTGCACTCGAAACAAGTCGTGGCATATAAAGAAAAATAAACCATCCCCACCAGTATCAGCAATAGCTCCTGTCCATACCACTGGGAGTAGGACAGCAATGCACTGCAGAAAGCTGCCGCGCTCATATGTTGTGTCTCCCACTGCTGGGTTATCAACCCACGTTCTGTGTTCCTGCACAGTGAAAAAGTGAAGCGGTTCCTGGCAAATGGCTCTTTGGACAAGGGATCTCAACTGTCCTACATCCATTTCGTTGGACTTACTGCTGGCTGATCCTGTACCTGACGCAACATGGAGATTCAAGAGAAAACTACATGAATTAATTAACCCCAGGAACAAAGACAAGGCAGTGGACCAAAAAGAAGGAAGAAGTTGTTAAAAATACAAGCCTCAACTATCTTGGAAGATACGGATAAGTAGCAAAAAAGTACCGTGTAATGTGCTAATATGTATTTACAACATCTCTGGAAGCTTCTCCTAACGTTTGAGACCTTTTAGAGATTTTCTCTTGACCAGGTTATAATTGCTAAAATTTTCAACCAGGCTTCTGGAAAGACTGATCTCTTTTATGTTTTGAACAGCAAAAGAAAGTGTTCTCACCTCTGATTTTGTTTCATTTCCTACGTCTTGTTGGGAAGACTGAAAGCTTCAGCTGGAGATTGTCAGCCATGTGTTAGGAGCTTTGCCTGGTGATGTGTCACGAGTGGTGGTCAGTCCAAAAGCAGGCTCTGTAAAGGCTGTATGGATGGGGCTTCTTGGGAGTGACGGTGCAGCCCTGTGGAGAGGGAATGGCAAGCTGCCCAACAGCCTTGGAGACAAGGAGAATGGACTCGGATGTCATAAATCCTCTGAGATGCCCCTGGAGAATAGAGGCTGGGGAGGAGATTGCATCGATGCAGTTAAGCTGGCTGTGTGCTTGCCCCATGGCCTGTCTCCTGACCTCTTCCAGATCTTTCCAGACATACAGAAATGCTATAGATCATGGCCTTGCCCACAGGGATAGTTTCTGCTGTTGCTCTGTCATAATCTTTGCTCATGCCTTAAGCTAAGCAATCTCAAATTCTTTCCCAACCTTTACTCTGACTGGATTTTCTTGCTCTTCCTGTACATGCTCTCTCCCTAGAAACACATGCAGTTGCTGGCTGCATGTACTTGCAGCCCAGAAAGGCAGCACTAGCACACACTGAAACTGTCAGCTCTGTGTCTGTTGTCGACTAGGGGAACTAGGAGATGGCAGGCAGGGGTTGTGCTGACACGGGAACAGCAGGATCTCTGGACAGGCGTAAGCACAGGACCCACAGAAGGTCAGGCTCATGCTGGGCAGCCCTTCATGTGGGGACACCCCGAGGTGTCCAGGACGCTCCCCGAGGGGGGCAGCTCCGTGAGGAGGTAGGTCTCCGTGCCTTGGTGCAGGGTAATAAGGTGCTTGTAGCACAAGCCTTTTTAAGACCTATGGGCAGCAGGGGCTTGATGTGGGACAGGCCTGCCCTCCACTGGTCCCCCTTTGCCTTGCACCCACTGCACCGCTATCCCTTTTACCCATCAATGTGCCCCTAATCTCTGGCAGCTACCCACAAAGTGCCCACCACGGCTGCCATCCCACTGGGGCTCCCCCTATCAATAGATTCCTGCCCCTCTGAATCCCTGCCCATTGCTTCCCGGTACCCCTGATCCCACGGAATACCTCAGCCATTTCCAGCCCCTTCGACCCCTCCAGTGCTGTTCACCCACTGAGGCTTCCAGCAGCACTGCTGCCCATGATGCTCCTCAAAGGGTGCTCCCCCTGCCCTTCTCAGTCCCTGATGCCCCAGGTACCCTCTGATGCCAACCCTTGCCTCAGCATTTTACAGTGCTCAGGGCCCACCACCCCACTTGCCCCTGCTAACCCTGCCTGCATTGGATAGAGCAGGAACTTCCCAAGGTCCTTTTCCAGCACCTCCCTCTGTCCGTTTAAAGCCATTCCCCCTCGTCCTGTCCTACAGGCCCTTGTCAAAAGCCCCTCTCCAGGTTTCTTGTCACCCCTTTAGGCACTGGAAGCTGCTCTAAGGTGTCCCTGGAGCCTTCTCCAAGTTGAACCAGCCCAGCTCTTTCAGCCTGTCTGTAGAGCAAAGCTGCTCCAGCCCTTGGAGCATCTCTGTGGCCTCCTCTGGTTTTGCTCCAACAGCTCCATGTTCCTCTTGTGTTGTTGCCTCAGAGCTGGGCACAGGACTGCAGGGGGGAATCTCACCGGAGCAGAGGGGGAGAATCCCCTCCCTCCATCTGCTGCTCACGCTCTGGGGATGCAGCCCAGGACACGGTTGGTTTCTGGGCTCAAGCGCACACTGAAGCTTGGTCATGGGGAGCTTCTTGTCACCCAACACCCCAAGTCCTTCTCAGGGCTGCTCCATCCAGTTTCCCCCAGCCCGTGTCTGTGCTGGGGACTGCCCCGACGCGGGGACAGGATCTTGTAAACTCCATCATGTTCGCATGGTCCCACCTCTCTAGGTCCCTCTGGATCCTATCCCTGCCCTCCAGAGTGCCGACACAAGGTGGGACACAGCTCCTGCGGCCACCTCGGGATCCATGCTTGTTTCCCAAGCCCCAGGCGGCCGCGCAAGGCCTCCGTCGGTGATCCGGGAGCACCGGGCAGCTTCCCGGCGCCTGCCCCAGGGAGCTCGGTGCTCACTCAGCAAGGCCTTAGAGCCGCTTCCCGATGGGGGGACCCCGGGGCACCGCCGAGGCCGAGCTGCCCCGGAAGAGCGGCTCGCCCGCAGCCCCGCCTTGCACCGCCCCGCGGGGGGCGTTCCGCGCGCGGCTCTGCCAATGGGAGAAACCCGCTGCTCTGCGTCAGCGCCGCACGGCGGCAGCGGCGGCTGTTGATAGGCAGAGCGGCGCGGCTGGCCCAATGGGAGCGGGGCGCTGCGGCCGGGCCCGGGCGCAGGCGGCGGCGGCGGCGGGGCGCGGAGCGGCCGGGGCCCAGCGCTCATCATGCCCTGCAAGCTGAAGAAGGAGAAGGTGCGGCGGGGCGGGATGGGCAGGGCTGCGCTGGGCGGCGGGTGTGCCCCCCTCCGTCCCTCCCGTCGGGCGTTGACCCGGTGCCCGCTTGCGCGCTCCCGCTGCCCTCCCTGCCCGCGGCCTATATCCCTCGGCGCGGACCCTCGGGCGGGGACGCGCGCGCGCGCGGGGCTGCGGCCGGCAGGGGGCGGGGGCGCGCGGGACGGGCGGGGCGGGTGGTGCAGGAGGGCGGCGGGGGCGCGCGTCGGTACCGGTGACACTCGTCCCCCCGTCCGTCCCGTCCCGTCCCGTCCCCCCCCCCTTTCCTTTCCGTGATCCCAGCGGGCGCAGCGCGGCGATGCCCCCGGTGCGCGAGGTACGGCCACACCCGCGCCCCGGCCCCGCGGATCTACCGCAGCCGCCGCTCGGTGCGGGCCGGGCCACGCTCGCCCGCTGCGGCCCTGGCGGTGTCCGTGCACCTTGCGGGCAGCCCCGGGGAAGGGCTGGGCGGGCGCGGGGGCCCTGTCACCCGGGGGGCATCGGGGCGGGCAGTGGTTCAGTCATTACCCTTCTGAGGGGAGGAGGGCCCGGAGCTGGGCTGCCTGCAGGGGTGGGGTGGGCCTGTGGCAGCGCGCCGCTGAACTCTGCAAAGAGCCGCCGTGATTCTGCACAAGGTGAAATGTTCTCTGAACGTCTTCTCGTCGTTTCAGGAGTCCCCGAAGTCTACCAAAAGCAGCACAAAGGCCGGCAGCAGCGGTGGCGGGAAGGATGGAGGGGCAGAGAATTCCGAAGAGGTAAGGCTTTCTCATCGGGTGCAGCAGTGTGCGTGAGGAGGAATAACATCTTCCGTTCTAACTGCTTCGTGCTGTTGTAGCACATAGTGTGTCACTGGGATTGTAAGGACGCAGAGAAAACGGTGGCCAAGACTAAAGTTAAGATGAAGTTAGTTCCCCTTGGAACTTGTCCCAAAGGAAATGATGGCTATGGAAGACAAGATGAGTCTCATGCCCTGCAGCCCTGCACAAAGAGGTTTGGCATGGAGCTGATGGTGAGCACCGCTCACAGAGGTGTGCAGAGGGTGACAGAGGTGGCTGCGGAGCGGAAAGAGCCACGGTTATCAAGAAGGAAGAAGCCTGACAGACAGGGATCATCTTCCTTGCTCCTGTCAGAGCAAAGCACAGTAAACTGTTGACACCTTGTGTCAGAGTGGGAGTTCATGAGGAGCAATAGAAAAGGAACATGTTCTTCTGAATTGTTTTCTGGGGGAGTGATATTAGGAAGGAATGGGTAGGACACGTGAAAGTATAGAGGTAAACTGCTGGAGATGAAATGGCTCTTTGATAGAACAGCCTTGTTGCTGAGCACATTACTCACAAGAAGGCACAGTCTGTATTCCCAGCTGTGCAGAGTCTCACTCCCGGTTTGATGTTGCCAAGCTGGATGTGTTAGAATAGCATCAGCAGAATGTGATAACATGATATGCTGTGATTAGAATTAACAAAATGTGGGTAAATAGAACTTTTCTGGTAGATTTGAGTATGTCCAGCACTCAAAACCAGCGCGGTTGTGGATTTTTGAGACTTGGCTCTGAAGAGTGTTATACGTGTGTCCAAGGGAGCTTGCGTGTGTGTGTGTGTCATTTATTAATACTACAGTTTGGCAAATGAGCTATGCCACTTCTGTGTCCATTCAAGCCTCTGTGCTCCAGTCTTGTCTGCAACACGTGGCATTTGTAATGTGGAGGACTGAGGATAAGAGACATGTAAGACTAAATCTGTAGATCAGTGGGGTGGTTGTTGTCAATAAATGGTTATTTTAGAGTCTCCTTCAAAGCACAGGCTTGTGTTTCAGAGCCTCAGAAGATGTCCCTGCTACCAGCTACTTGGTTTCAGGGTCTAAGCTATGCTTTTGGCAAACCTGCCACATGGCCAGCAAGAAATGAGAAGCTGAGTTTGCTTGCCTTGGAGCAGGCAACAGTTTTGCAGATCCTGCTTTTACATCCCGTCCTGATTTTGGCCTCTGCCCATTTTATTTTGTGTGTACAGCTGAAAACAGCTTGCTGGGAGAGCTGTCTGCCAGCTCTGAGGAAGTGAGAGGACTCCTCCATTGGCATCCTGGGGTCAGGCTTACCTTGTATTTATTTGGCACTCTTTGGCTGCTGAGCTCACAGCTCTGGGGAGAGGAAGGGACGCCTAGGGCTTGCAGTGCAAGGGTGATGGATAGCTTTTGAGAGAGCAGAGCAGTGATGACCCCATCCAAATCAGCACCGGGCTGTGGCGCTGCTCTCCTGATTGCAAGTGATGCAGTAAGAAAGAAAGAGTAGTGCAGGCTACAAGCTTCCTTCTGCGACCTGAGATGGCACGTAATGTCTGGTCATGCCTGGGCGCAGGAGAGACTTAGAAGTGATGCGTCTAACCTTCCCTCCCACAAAACATATGCAGCCACTTCCTCATACTCCAAAGAAAATCCAGCCCTTCTTTAAGATGGAAAGCTGGGTCTCCTTTGATCATAGGAACAGAGAGCAGAGCAGAAAGGAGCCACCTCTGCAGGGTGCACTGCCACTGGTCTCTTCTCCCTTTCCCTCTTGAGCTTGCAGTGAAGTTTGTTTTCTCTGGGTGCTTTCCTGTCTCTGGACTGCTCTGCTGCAGAATGGAAGAGAGCTCTTTGCTTGATAAGAAGAAATGTATGCCAGTTTGAATGCGATTTTCCTGCTCTTCAGGAAGAACAGAAAGGTATTTTGACTTTCACATTGGGGGACTGTGAGGAATTAGGTAATGTGTGCTGAGAGAGAGACTCCTTCTGTGTGTCAGAAGCAGGAGGTGGTTTGACTCATGAAGCACCAGGAGTGGTGTTGCCTGGTGGGGTTGATGGGCTGAGCCTAGCCTGGATGCCTCTGATGCCATTGTGAGAGTTTTGTGCCCTGTAAATTCCTCCATGGAGTTATGGTTGGTTGGTTGCCCCTTTTAGGGTGAAAGTTGTGTGCACCAAAGGGAATTGTCTTTTTTCTTCAGATCACAGTAGGTGCTTAATGGGCTTGCAGCAGGAGAACAGCATTTGAGCAGCCCTTTTCCAGTATGCACTTTCCTCTCTGCTCCTTGGAGCCCTAATTTATCTTGGTCCAGAAAGCTGTGACTTGTTTTGCAGGCAAGTTGTCTGGCTGGTGGAATGAGTCGTTTGTTGAAGAGCAGCTCTGGTCTGACACACCTGAGCAAGTGGAGCAGACAGGGACCTCCTATGGGGATCTCCCTATGGCTGAGGGAGATGTACAGGCTCGGAGCCAGTCCAGAAACCCTTAAGCAGAGTGCTTTGTTCTCTGCACTGAAGGAGCTTTTAGTGGAGCTGATCTGGAAGGGCAGATATGTTCAAAAGCAGCTGCATCCCCATGAGGGAAGGCAAGTGTTTGAATTCCCTCCTAAGTACAGGGGTAGCGTAGTGCTCTTTTAGATGCCCATCTTAGGGTGAAGCTGTCTGAGGTGAAAAGCCAGCAGAGCTTGGCTTTGGAGGGGAAGGTGGGTGGGGGCAGTTTACTCAGGAAGAGACAGGAGCAGGGGAGGAAATCATGAAAGCAGGGGATGGGAAATAAAAAGGTTTGTTTAGTTCATTCCCTCTGGAAAATGATGAAAATATGAATGGAGAGAATTCCTGAGTGTCTGTTTAAGGAGAAAGAAAAGGAATGATATCAGAGACCAAGGCAGATTGAATGAGAGGATGAGAAAGAGTTACTCTTCCTGACCAAAAAGCCTGGGAGAGGCAGCTGGGTGGGGAGGAGAGTTAATGACCTGGAAGTGGGAGCAGGGATTAGCAGCAGCAGTGAAGAGGAGTTGCGCTGCAGCCTGGAGGGCAGCTTGGAGCCTTGCTGATGAGATCTGCAGCTCTGGGAGAGGGTGCTCCTTTTCACTGAGCTGCTGTATTACGTGTTTTGCAGATATCTCCATGGGGCTTGTTACTGCGGTACCTGAAATTCATTATTCAGAGACAGGCGTTACAGTGTGTTGATGTTACTTGTGAGGCAGAGCTGGCTTTTAATAGGGCGCTGTGTAACAGCAGACAAAGAGAGCAGGTACTGACTTGAGGGATGGGAAGGGAAGAGTCATCTGAGGAGGAGGAGGAGGAGCTGAGAGCAGATCTGGGCTGAGGAGCTCAGCAAGCGGGGGATGCTCAAGGGACCAGTGAGGCAGAAGGGCTTTCCCAGTGGCGATGCACCCAGCTGTGGGAGGAGAGCCTGCAAAGGTGAGGTCATACACGGGCAGGAGAGCAGAGGAGAGGCTGGCACAGCTCAGGGTGGCTGAGGGGGGGGAAGAGGGTCTCTGTTCCTGGGAGCCCAGGGTGAAGAGAAATGACACAGAGCAAGCCCAGGGCCTGGGGCTCATTGACATGTGCCGGCAAGTTCCTAGCAAGGGAAGGAGAGGTGGTGGGGACCAGTGGGGAGGAAGTACTGTGGAGCCAGGGAGCCTCTGCTTGGGGGTGTTTGAACGTGGCTGTGACTGGGGCTGTTGGCAGGAGTCGCTGCTCCACTGCAGCAGGTGAGGTGGGGCTGCTGCTCTGTTCTCTGGGGAGCTCTTCACGGGCAAACAGTGTTCTCCCAAGCCTTGCTGTGAGGAGGTGGGCCTGAGCCCTGCCTGTTGGGAGGGCGCTGAGCCTCATCAGGTTGGTGTGCTGCAGCCATGGAATGGTTACCTGGTGTTGGTGTCAGGGAGGCAGTCTGTGGGGTTGATAGCTGTGCGTTAAGAGAAAAGCTTTCCATTCTAGAAACAACCCTGTGTTCTCAGGGATGGAGACTTCAGGGGAGAAAGTGTTAGGAAGCTCAAAATGAACCTCTCTGGATTCATGAAGCTAAGGTAGGAGGGCAGAAGAGCAGGCCTGCCACAGGAGGCACCTCTTGAAAGCACGTGTTCAGCCTGATGTTAGAAAGTCCATATAGAAGTGACCTGAATGCCTCTGAGCACGGCAGCCCTCCCCCATCACTGGATTTTCTCTAGCAAACTCAGTTGTGTGATTTTTGCATGTGTATTTCTGTTTCTTGAGTAGTTCTATAGCAGCTAAACCTGAAGATGTGCTTGGTCTCTCTTCATGCCTTCAGCTGTTGAAAGCTGTAGAAGCTGGTGGCAAGGACTTTTCTAGAGCCCCGGTGAAGGCAGTGTGGCCACAGCCTGTTAGCCTGAGATACACAATACACACACCATACTCGGAACTCTGCCTGTGGCTTTTCTAGGTGTGTGGGGAGTGCACAGGCATATCCTGACAGCTTCAATCACCCATGTGTCCTGGTTCCATCAGTGTTCCCCATGAGGCTGCTGTGCATCTTTTGTTTCCCTCTGTACCATCTTTTCTCATCATTCAGAGTTTGCTTTTATTCCCTGTGGAAGGAGACTATGTAGAGGACTAACCTCCCAAAAAGCATGTGTGCAGCATCTGAGTGTCTCACATTGCCCTGATACCCAACCATCGGGGTGAGGAATGAACAACTCGTTCTTGGCAGGTTGTCAGAAAGGATTCAGCCTGGCTTAACTGAGTTGAGACCACTGTTCAGGATATCTTGCCTCCAATTTGTATCCTGGGCCTCCTTTGTCTGACATCACAACCTCATCTTGTTCTCTCCTCATTGTGGAACAATGCTGCTCCATGAAAGAAATCAGATCAAATCTAAACTGAAGAGAGTTCAAATCTTCTTATCTCCCCCAGCCTTGGCTTGGAGCTGAGTATGAAGCAGAACTTCTTAAGATTTCCTTCAAGCAAAGCCAGACCAGAACAGAAATGTTTCTGATTTCTGGTTCAAAGTAAGGGCTTGACAAAATAATTGGTGTTTTGTGTTGGGCACTGTTTTGCACAGGGAGTCTTTGCACAGTGTCTCCTTGTAGGCAGCTTTCCCTATTCCTACCTTGCTGTCTCCCTGCATGCTGTGGGTACAGTAACTCCTGCACTGTGGTGCTGTGCTTCACATCTTTGGAAATCATCAGGCCTCAGCGCAGGGTAAGGACTGTGCAGGGCAAGCTGCAGCTCAGCTGCTACTCACAGGAGGAGACTGGTTATATCTCATTTGGAGGAGAGCTCTAATGAGCTTCTGCACTGCTGGTGCTCTCCCTCAAAATTGGTGTTCTCAAGGGGTGTGTTTGTACTGCTGTGCTGTATGTGGCAGCTGGGAGTTCATGGGGGAAGGGAAAAGTGATGGCCAAGGATTTCACCACTTCTGCTCCCCATCCATCGCACTGTCCCTGTTGTGTCCTAAATAGGTTCACCTTGCAGCTCCTTGGCTTTGTGCACCAGTGGGAAGGATGTGGCAGAGCTGAGGAAGGGAGCGCTGCTGGGCTCACACAGCAGAGCCAGCGTAGGCTGAGTGCTGTCTGCAGCTAAGCCCTCTGCTATAGGCATCCTTGTGGGTTGTTGCCCTCTTCCACATTAAGTTTTCCATGAGTTGTGTTGGTTACTGAGCCATTTTGGGCCAGGTGGAACTGGAACCAGCAGAGCTTCAGCGAGGTCAGAACAGAGCTAAGCTAAGCAAACGCTAGCTTGAGTTTCTGCTGGAAACAAGAAGGTGTTTCTGAAGGGCTGATGTGGAAAAAGCAAACTAAGTCCAGACAGCAGCAGGGCTGAGACAAGGTGGAAATGGAGGGAGCAGCTAGGGTGGGTTGGGAAAGCCTAAGCTTTGGATATGGCCTGTGTGGTTTGTAGGCTCCTGATCTATGAGTGCAGCAGTGATTTTAGCGGTATTCACTGTTGCCTTCCCAGGACCATCCTGTCTGCTCTGTACTGCATGCTCCTTTGATTTTCCCAGGTGGTTTCCTGCACAAGGATAAGGAGCATCTCGCTAGTTTTCAGAGCTTGCTTGCTGTGGACTGGACAGTGCTGTGATCGGGGTCAGCAATACCCTGACTTTTCTGTTTGGGCCACAGAAAGTTCTTATTTCTGCTTTTATTTTGTGACAACAAACACCTGTCACGCATTGCAAGGCATGGATTTGCTGTCCATATCCCTAGAAGCCGCCGTGCCATGAAGCTCTGGTGTCTTTGTGATGCCTCACAGCCATGAGTAAACCCAATGTTCCCTTTGCAGGTATGATACAAATGGAACCAGCGGGTCAGGAGCCCTACAGGAGCGGATGAGATGCCCCAAACTGCAAGTGCAGCAGCGGAAAACGTGCCTGGTTTCTTCAGTGCTGACGGTGTCTGATGGCTCATGAGGCTTGTAGCTGAAAGCTTATGGGTTGTTTTATTCTCTTCTCAGGAACAGCAGCAGCAGCAGCAGCAGCAGCCGCCAGCTTCAAATAAGCGGCCCAGTAACAGCGCTCCCCCCCCAACCCAGCTGAATAAGATCAAGTACTCCGGGGGACCCCAGATTGTGAAGAAGGAGCGCAGGCACAGCTCTTCCCGCTTCAATCTGAGCAAAAACCGGGAACTCCAAAAGCTCCCAGCCCTTAAAGGTAAGGAAGCTGCCCGGTGGGGTTGACCTGCATGGCAAGCTACACCTGCTCCAGGCAGAGTTTGGTGGTGTGACAGCTCTTCCCAATGTGACCTTGCCAGTGTCCTGCCAGCAGTGCAGCCAGGATGCTCTGGGAAAGCTGCTTGGCTTGGCAGTGGGTTGAGGATCAATGATGGATAGCCTCAAAGGAAAGGAGAATGTTCATTGTGAACTTCACTGTTTACCTTCCCATTTGAACTGATTTAAACCCTTGTGTTAATATGTGCTTAGGATTGCCTCAGGTTCTTCAGCAGGTTGTGTAGGAAGGTGGTGAAGTGCAGAGACCCTTGTGCAGTCTCTTGTTTCTACATCCACCTGTTCCCTGGAGAGGACCAGGACTTCTCCTCCTCCTCCTGGTGTTTCCATTGCAAATTATGGTAGTACTGTTGAACTTGTCCACCTTCAGGCAATTACCCAACATTAGCAGTTAGTCTACATAATGGTGCAATTAAACATGACTTAAGTGTGAACAAGGAGAAAGCATTTTCAGCAGTCACTCAGCCAGACCCTTTGCTGACATTGCCCACAGAAACAGGCAGGCCTTTTCGGAAGAGCAGCTGCCTCGCAGCTCAGCAGCCACTCTGCAAGCAAAAGGTTGTTTACCTGACTGGCCTTAGCAGTGCGTAGTTCCCAATGGCAACATATCAAAAAGAGAATGCTGTTAATATAGGGCCTCTGCTACCTTGGCCCCTCTCTTCTGGGCTGCTCTCTGGGAAGAGGGTTAGCCTGCAGTGTGCTCTGTCCTGCTCCCTTTGTGCCTGAGGTGTAGGGCATGGGTGTCCCTGGTCTGCGACGGGAGCTAGTTAAGTGAGTTCTTTCTCCAGTGCACCTTGTACTGCAAAGGGATCAGTGCTTATCAGATCAGAAACGGTTAGCATATTTGATATTGCCTTATGGGATAGTTGCTCCAGAGGCCTTGCAATCCCTCTGTCTCCACTGTCCCATCTCCGTAGCAGGGATAACACTGCTTCTGCCTCCTCCCACCAGCTCAAGGGGGACTGTGACAGGGAAGGGGGGAATGCAGGGCAGGGAGGAAACCACACTGGTACGTGGGCAAACCAGGAAGATGTTCTCCGTATCTCCAAGGCATTCCTGCTCTCTCTGACAGATGCTCCTCCACATGAACGAGAAGAGCTTTTCATTCAGAAGCTGCGGCAGTGCTGCGTGCTTTTTGACTTCATTTCTGACCCCCTCAGTGACCTGAAGTTCAAGGAGGTGAAGCGAGCAGGTCTCAACGAGATGGTAGAATACATCACTCACAACCGTGATGTTGTCACTGAGGCCATCTATCCTGAAGCTGTTATCATGGTAGGACATGGGGCTGCTGTGTGTGTCTGTCAAAGAAATGGGGACTGTCCAGAAGCTTGGGTGGGAGGAAGAGATAGGGATTTGTCAGGGAGAAGTCTGACCCCAGTTCTACGCATTCCTTATCATCTGCCCAGCCACAGAAGAAGAAGCAGAGGGTAGAGGGTGACGCTGTCTGGTGTCAAGAGAGGTGGAAGCTCTCTCTCGTTGCAGAGTTCATATGCAGACTGTAACCCTGCTGCCTCTAGAGAGGGGTCTGTCTTCGGGCACAGCTATGGCAGATCACAGTCTGTTGCTCTGCAGTGGAGAATTAGCTATGGGAAGCACCACTGTGGGGTGCAGGGCTGTTACTGACACACCTTTTCACACACCTCAGTTTTCAGTGAACCTCTTCCGGACGCTCCCGCCATCATCCAATCCCACAGGCGCGGAGTTTGACCCTGAGGAAGATGAGCCTACACTAGAGGCTGCCTGGCCACACCTGCAGGTGAGGAGGAAGAGGAGTGGGGGTAGACATCTGGTGGATGGTATCTCCAGGGAGTCAAGAGTACACGTAGTGCTGGTGCCTGCAAGGGGTCCTGCTGTGGGGACCAGGAGAGGCCAGGCCTGACACCCATGGGTCAGAGGTGGCTTGTAGGCAATGCAGGCAGCAGGGGTGTCCTGGAAACAGGCTGATGGCTGTGTGCCACGTTCACCTGCAGATGGCTGTAGTTCCACGTGGCCCTGAGGTAGGCTGGGAGTGACCTGAGAGGGAGGGAGCTGTGCTGTATTGCTTGTGTGAGAAGCAGTTCCCAGCAACAGCAATGTCCCTCCTGAAGGCTCAAGAGTCTTCTTCTGGGCTTCAGTAGCAGTGGAGATAGCACCCCTGTCTGCTTCAATGGTCCTCTCCTTGCCCAGCTCCATGGGAGGCACATGGAGGAAGAGGACTGCTTAGTGCCACAGCAAAGCCTGTGCTTGCACCTCCTAACATCTCCTATATGCTTCTGTAATTCAGTTGTGTTAACTGGGGGCAAACATTTGACCAGAAAAGACAGGGAATCATAGAATCTTGGAATGGTTTGGGTTGAAAGGGACCATAAAGCTCATCCAGTTCCAACACCCTGCATGGGCAGGACCACCTTCCACTAGACCAGGTTGCTCCAAGCCCTGGAGCAGTTATGAGCCACCATCAGAGCAAGGGCAGCTGAGTTGATCCCACTGAGTGAGGAAATGGGTTCCTGTGTTTTCTGTGCTCCCATTCAGGCTTCCTGTCCTTTTCCCACATCCTTAAGGAGAAGGAAAACCTTTAAAACCTGAAGTAAACATTGGTGAGAGGATGGGGGCATTTCTGAGTGATCTTTCCTTCTCTCCATAGCTGGTGTATGAGTTCTTCCTCCGGTTCCTGGAATCACCTGATTTTCAACCAAACGTAGCCAAGAAATACATCGACCAGAAGTTTGTACTGTCTGTAAGTAGTCCTTGCCCCTGCCCCTGTGCACCACCTTTATGAAGGACACGCAGCAGGTTTTGGTCCAGGTGGAGTTCAGACAGTCCAGCTTCGTCAGCAGGTGCTTGGTGATGTGGGTTTTCTTTCTCCCTTTGTTTAGTCTTGAACGAGCAGCCAGAATTCTCTGTGCAGGGCAAGTGTGGTTGAGCTGTAGTCAATGGAACTCATCTCTCATTGTCCAGATGGAGGGGGGCGCTGGGGCCTTGCAGGGGAAACCCTGGGGGGACACAGGTTTGTAGAGTGTGCAGGCCATCACGGTGCCACTGGTGATTCCAGCTTGTGTTGCTGTTAGTTTTGTGCAGGCTGGCAGCAGGCACACATGGACTGAATTTCTCTCTCCACAGCTGCTGGATCTCTTTGACAGTGAAGACCCCAGAGAACGCGACTTCCTAAAGACTATTCTGCACAGGATCTATGGGAAGTTCCTGGGTCTGCGAGCGTATGTGAGGCGGCAGATCAACAATATATTTTACAGGTGAGATGTCTTGTAGTGTCACTGGCCTAGTGAGTGAGTGGGACAATCAGGGAGGAAAATTTGGGGCACTAGGCTGTGTGTCTCTGATCCATACTGTGATTAGCAAAGTGACTCAGTTATGTCACACTACTTTAAGAGCAGAAGGGATGTGATATCACTGTCTTCAGTGCACACAGAGCATGTGTTGGGATGTGTGAGCTTTAGCTGATCTGGGGCCATGAATTTATTTGCTTCTCTCCCTTACACCTTGCCCTGTTGTCCTGGAGTTCTGTTAATTTGCTAGGAACCTCCCCACCTCCTGTGGTTTTCTCTCCTTTTGCTCATCAAACTGTATGCAGCATTTGGCGGTGACATCTCATTCTCTGTTCTTTAGGTTCATCTATGAAACAGAGCACCACAATGGGATTGCAGAACTGCTGGAGATCCTGGGAAGGTAAGAGTGCTTCTGGAAGTCCCAAAGGCCCCACAGTGAGTGATCTCCCAGCCCAGTGTGCAGCATGAGCTGGCAGTGCCTTCTTTCAGCAGCCCTTGCTGAAGAGGAGCCACCTCTTCCAGGGGATATCAGTCCGACAAAGCACAGAGCAGAAATACTCTCCAGCCTGTTGGGAAATGTGGTAGCCTTCTCCTCAGATGCAGTACTGTGAGCATGGAGGATTGCTCCACCTCTCATGCACACTGAGAAGAGGCAGTTTACAGCTTCTATACCTTTATTATAGACATATTCATCACAATTCCGTGCAATACTCACCCAGTTTCCTCATTGCCTATGTAATCTGGGAAGATAAGGCCATGGTGCAGGCACTGTGGGTTTGAGGAGTGGTCTCTGGGAGTCATGGTGGTCATTTGGGCAGAAATACCCTCACTGGTTTTATACTTCTATGGAAGTCCATTAGGTAAGGACACTGAGTGTGTGTTTAGTCTTGCCAGTAACCTACATGTTCTTGTTTGGGCTAATTCATGACCCTGAGAGGCTTCTCTAGCAGTTTTCTTTCACAGCCATTTGTCTGTTTCTCGGGTAATAAACCTTATTGACAGGAGGAAGGCCTGCAGTGGTTTGAGAAAGAAATCTGGTCCTCTTGTTGCATGACTTCCTTATCTTGAGAATCCTTGCATCCTTTGTCCATGTCTAAGTCTCAATACACGATGAAAAGCTTGTTTAATTCTTTGTCACTGTTCTATAAAGTAAACTCCGGCTGAGCATGGTGTGCAGCTTGGGCCCCAGTGACCATGCTTCTGGTGGGTGCTTTCTCCAAGTGACTAGTGAAAGCTAGGGCAAGCCACTGATTCTTTTGAGGTTAAAGATACTGTGTTTTTGCTGGGTAAGGTTTGTTAATGAGACTCTTGTTTTTTCTCAGTATAATCAATGGGTTTGCTTTGCCTCTGAAGGAAGAGCACAAGATGTTCCTCATCAGAGTCTTGTTACCCCTGCACAAGGTGAAGTCTCTCAGTGTTTACCACCCACAGGTGAGAAGTGCTTCAAGTTATATCCTTCAGAAGCTGTTGTTCAGGCTTGCTTATAGCTATTTTCGGATCTTCTACAATAAGGTGATGCACCTGTTTATGAGAGAATGGCTGTGCACATTGTCTATTTGGAATTAAGTAAAGTATTTGACACTGTCTCCCAGTGGTCTTCTAGAGAAACTGGCTGCTCATGGCCTGGATAGGTGTGTTCTTCAGTGGGCTGGAAACTGGCTGGATGGCCAAGCCTGAAATGTGGTAAATGGCATTACATCTACTTGGTGACCAGTCACTAGTGGTGTCCGTCAGGGCTGGGGAAGGCTCTGGGGGGACCTTATCACTCTCTGCAGTTACCTGAATTGAGGTTGTAGTGAGATGGGGGTCAGTCTCTTCTCTCAAGGAGCAAAGGATAGGACAAGAGGAAACAGCCTCAATCTGCACCAGGGGAGGTTTAGACTGGATATTGGGAACAATTTCTTCCCCAAAGGGCAGTCAGGCATTGGAACAGGCTGCCCAGGGCAGTGCTGGAATCACCGTCCCTTGAAGTGTTCACAGACTGTGTAGATGAGGCCCCCAGTGCCATGGGTTAGTGGTGGCCTTGGCAGTGCTGGGGAATGGTTGGACTGCATGATCCTAAAGGTCTTTTCCAACCTCGTTGATTCTGTGGTTCTGTGATTTACTGGGCTGCATGACTGGTGTACAAAGCGCTTGCTGTGAGATGTTTTGGGCTCTGCATTAGTTCCTGTCTGTGACAGTTTGTCCCAGCCTTGTGGTGCCCTGGCCACACGTGTGCTTTTTGCCACTGGTTGATAGAAGGGTATCCTGCCATTTCCTGCTGACTTATTGCTGTGCTCTGCTTTGCCTTTCCATGCTGGAATTTTGTGAAATACTGGGGCCCCGCTGAAACGTGAGTTGAAATTGTGAGCTGCAGTCATCAGTGTGTGGTGTGTCAGCTGTTAGTCACCACTGAGATATGAACAGAAATCCATGTGCTGGGCTGCAAGACTGATATAGAGATTAATTGATTGCAATTTGGAGTACATAATAGAAGAGAAGATCAGGACTCAGGCTAGGAATTGAAAAGTGTGGGTACTGAGCAGTGATGTCTGCTCATCCAGCCTTGTTTTTATGCAGCAGGTCTTTCTGATAGTCAGGTTTGTCCCTTCCCCTTTTTGCAGCTGTGCTGACATTTGAATGTATTAGCTGGGGGCTTCTCTAGGTGGCTTAAGTTTTATTCTTTATGCTGCATGGATGTCCTGAGCTCAGGCTCTGCCTGCTTGGGCTTAAAGCCTTCACTTGCCATCAGAACTGGATTCAGAGCTGCAACTGCACTCGTCACGCACACTGTGAAGGACATAATGTGACTTTCAGCCTAGGGTGGTGGTGGCACTTTAGAGTTTCCCAAGTGTACCTGAGATTAATCTTGCCATGTTTGCTTCCTACAGTTGGCGTACTGTGTTGTACAGTTCTTGGAGAAAGACAGCAGCCTGACAGAGCCAGTGAGTAACCTCGCTTAACCTTTCTGTGTCAGTCAAACCCCAAAAGCTTTTCTGCTTCTTTAGACTACAGCAAGGGTGAAAAAAGGCTGAAGAAACTGAGAGTCAGCTGGGTTGTTTACTGGGTTTGCCTTGTACTGTACAAGCAGAAGGGGCCATGCTGCTTATGTGCAAGTCTGAAAGCTTCAGGAAGGTGGGCTATAGTCTTCCTTTGTGCTTCGGATCTTGGTGTAGCAGAAGGAACACTATACCAAGCTGTCCTTCCAGGGCAGAGCTTTCAGCTCGTGACAGATGCTGCAGAGACAAAACACATGGCCATGTGGTATCTGATGGAACCAGCATGAGCCTGTGGGGGCCCTGAAACAGTGATAGTTCACTCTGATAGTTCACTGTGGGGATGAGGTTAGGAACCTGGGACACAAAGGTCCCAGACAAGCCACCGTTCCTTGATGAAAGTATTCTCCTCCCTGCTCTTGCATCAGTTTGTTTCCTCCACAGTGTTAAGACTCCTTATAGATGCATTGGCCTTCAGGATGCAGTGCTGGGTAACAGACGGATCCAAAATGTGTGAGCAGTGTCGATGGGGAGCTCACATATTCCAGTTAGCCCAGACCTGCAGCGTTAACCAGGCTATGTGGCAGCTTGGCAGAGGGTGCAAGCAGGAGACGAGTGTTTCTCCACCCACTGCAGGCCAGGAAATGTCTTCTACAGTGCTGAGCTTCACAGCCTCAAAACAGCAGATGGCCAAAGAACACATGCTTGTGTCACTGTATGAGGGAGCACCAGAAAGTGTGAGCCTTCTCATGAGTAACACTAGCTGAGGTCGTTCTGTTCCCTGGCTGAAATGTGCGTGCTGGTGGTGAGCCTGGCGGTGCTCGGAGGAAGCTGGTCAACTGTTGCCAGCTTTCTGGCTCTTCAGCTCTGCGCAGTGCTGAAGCGGAGCTCCCAGCTTTTCCTTTAAATGTGAGTCCTCCATTTCCTGTGTTCCCAGAAGCCTGCTCTGAAATAAACTGCATAGAGTAGCTTCCTGATCATGCTGAGTACTTCCTATGGCTGACATCCAGCCCAAAGCCTCCTGCCAAAGCACTTTCTGTAGGGTGAAGGAGAAGAGAGACAGAGAAATCTGTCAATACTTCTAGGATTCACTTTTCAGCCTATTGAAACAATTAAGCCCCATAGGTTGTCACTGCTTTCTGGGTAATGGGCCAGTGGCCCCTGAATTAGAGACCCAGACCTGGTTTGATGCTGTGGAAAGCAGTGGGGTGACCCAGTTTCAGTGGGTGTTGTGTTGAGTCCCAACCAGACGTGTCAAGGCTGTATTGCCACAGGTTGTGTCCTGTTGAAACATCCTGCTTGTGAAGGTTTTGAATAAATGGAAAGAGGCCAGATCACTCACTAGGTCCATGCTTGCTTTGAGTGGGCCTCCCAGGAGCTTGCTCAGCAAGGCTTGACGTGGTAGCTCTTGGTTAACAGCAATCTGAGTGACTGCCAGGTGAGCAAGGCCTCAGATGTGCTCAGTAGTGGCAGAGAAAGACTCGACACACCTCGCACCGCCTTAGCTGTAGGAGAAATGATGTCTGAGTCACTGCAGCTGTCTGAACGGCAGACCTGAGTAATGGCAAACTCTGAGGGTACCAAACTGTTGGCTGAGAAGCCTGGAGTTGGTGGCAAAGTAATGCTCAAGATGTGTTTAATCTTGCTGTTGCATTGCCCACTGCTGTCCCTCCACTGCTCTAAACTTCCTCTTGAGTGCTGGCTTCAGGATCAGGTTGCCAGAGTACACAGAGTTTGAAAGAGCAGCTCCTACCCAACTCTGCAGTGTGTTGAATAAGGATTCTTCAGTGACCTTCTCCATAGTGTTTCCAATTTTATTAGTTGCTCTCTTCCATCAGCCAGCCCATTCTGGTTTGAGCCTTCCATGCTAAGCTGTCTTTGGGGGAAAAAGGTGGTTCTAAGCTTTGTGATTGTAGTACAGAATCATAGCAGCCTGTGCAGTGCTGGTTAACATGGCAGAGTTTGGGTTTTTCTCTTCTTTCTTCCCTGGTAACCCCACCATGACTTCCTGAGAAAGTCTCGTCTGTAATTTGCTTCCTTCTGATGTTGCGACCAGACCCTTAAAACTGTATTTCACAGCTGGTGTTAACTGTCAGCCTCTAACACTGTCTCTGTATCCTTCATTGAGGTGATCGTGGGCTTGCTGAAGTTCTGGCCAAAAACTCACAGCCCCAAGGAGGTGATGTTCCTGAATGAGCTGGAGGAGATCTTGGATGTGATTGAGCCATCTGAGTTTGTGAAAGTCATGGAGCCCTTGTTTAGGCAGTTGGCCAAGTGTGTCTCCAGCCCACACTTCCAGGTGAGTCGCAGCTCAGGGAGGGGACAGGGCACCGGCTTATAACCCACTTTGCATGCGAGGGTGCCACCACAGCTTTTGGGCTTGTCTTTGTGGATCATGGAGGTGTAAGCAGGGTGAGTATTGGGGTGACATGTGGTGGAAAGCGGTGAGAATCCTCACCACAACCACAGAGCAAGCTCATCCAAAGAGAAAACAAAGCGGATCGGTGGAGCCCTTCCTGCTGCTCTCTGCTTTTCAGCACCATCTACTGCAGCAGCTGGAGCTGGAGTAGAGGTGGTCTGCCTCCTGTTTTGGCTAGCAGACATAGAGGAGATCCACCCAATGTCATCATGTTGCAGTAAGACCCAGCTGGCTGCAGTTTTGGAAGGAGGCCAACCAAAGAGCCAATGTAGAGAAGTTATGTTGTATTATTCTGGTGCTGGTTGCAAAGGGTGAGGTGTACTGAAGAAATGCCAGAGTCTGCTTCTTCCTTGTTCACACTGAAGGGGACTGGCTGTAGTACCAGGCTAAAACAATCTCTGTGGCTGGTAGTCAAGGCTTAAAATGTCAAGGGTGGTAGGACAGCAGTAGCTCCTAGCAGGTGTTCTTGGCTCACTGGTTTTGGTTGCCATGAAGGGTGTCCAAGAAGAAGATAGCTTGCTGGTGAAACACAGGGCTAGCCCAGGTATGGCTGGGGTGTGAAATAGTGACATAGCCCCCTCCTGGAGTGAGTGTGACTGCACAGCGAGGCACACTGGCTTCAGCCTGTCTTTTGGTACAGAGAAATACAGAATTGTGCTTACAAGCCAAAAATGAGGTCAGTCTAGTGTATGTAAAAGATCACTGTTTCCTGGAAAGGACTGGGGAGCCTGACAGAAACCAGCTGGACGTGGATTACTGGTGTGGTGATGGGAACCAAAGGACAAACGTGACCTTTGGGTGTGGAAGGGCTTACAGTGGGGAGCTAAGGAGCTTAAATAAAGTAGGGTAAAGGCTGGAGGAGAGGCATCCTGTACTTGATAGCAGCCCTCAGCTGCTGCCAACTCTTTAAAAAACATGATTGAAAACCCCAGAGAAGGTGCAAAGACTTTGCAGCCTAAGAAAATTAACCCCAAAGGTGCCCCTCATGGTCAGGCTGAAGAGGCTCCGTGTCTGCAGCTTGTCTGAGAACAGAAATAGGAGCTGGCTTCTTGGTAAGTCTGAACATCTTGGTGGGGAGAGTTTTCTCTGAGTGGATTGTGTGTTAATCTAGCAGACAAAGGCTTAACAAGATCTAAAAGCTGGAACCTCTTCCTGGTTTTTAAGCCATTCTCAAGCTAGTGCTAAATGCAGGAATTAGCTTGGTGATCTGCATTACCCAGATTTGTGGTTAAATATGAAGAGCTGTGGTTGAATCTATCACTATGTGGAAACTTGTTAGACTTGTTTGTCTCTTAAGAGCGGGGTGGCTGCCCCAAGATTTTCCATGTTTTCAACCTTACAATGAGGGAATGAATTGTGGGCCTGGTGACTGAAGCATGCTTGAGAGCCTAGAGAGACTGTTGTGGGGAAGGCCAGAGAGGAACGGAAGGAATGGAGCTTTACAGAGGACAATCTGAGAAAATGAAGGAGACTTGGAGCTAGTCTGAGCTGGGACATGGAGCGGGTAACATTACTGTCCTCAAGTCTTGTGTAAAGGGTGTTGAAGTCATCGGTGCTCCTTGCCTGGGTGGTGGCAAGCTCTGGTCTCAGCACCGCACAGTCTCCCTGTGCGCCGCCAGTGTTACTGGAAGGAGCCTCTCCAAGTTTGGCTTTCTCTCCCACTGCAGGTGGCAGAGCGAGCACTGTACTACTGGAACAACGAATATATCATGAGCCTAATCAGCGATAACGCAGCCAAAATCCTCCCGATCATGTTTCCAGCACTCTACAAGAACTCCAAGAGTCACTGGAACAAGTAGGTCTTTCCGCGTCCCCTGGCACTTGCTGCCATGCATACAGGATCCCTTGACCTACTACCAAGGGGTCAGTAGTATCAGCATGGAAAAGTGCCACCACAGACCTCATCGACGTGTTTCTGCAAGGAGTCAGGACCTGCAGTGATCTACCTTGGGGCCATTGAGTCTACCCAGAGTCTGATGCCTGCATGTCACTAATGCTGCCAGTCTCTTGGAGGTGTGCAGGAAGTTTTCCAGCTGACTTCTGGCTGCTTGTTAACAAAGGATCACCCATATGTTCTCCATGACCAGAGACTTTGGCTAATGTAGTGTCTTAACTTCCTGAGTACAGGAAGAATGGAGACAGCAGAACTAACCAGGCACATGTCCCATGTCAAATCATTGCCCTCTATGTCTGATTCCTCAATACTAGCCTGCTTTATGGTTCTCCCATCAACTTCTTTTCTTCTGGCTGCTGCTTCAGTTGACTGCTTACCTGGCTAATTCAAGTTGTAAAACTCCCTTTTAATGAATTAGCTGAGAATACTCAGCCCACAGCTGAGATCCTAAAATCTTTCAGCAGAAACTACAAAAATAAGAATAAAGTCATCGTCCCCTATTCTAGAGGGTGGGAAAAAATGGACAATAGTAAATTCTAGGGAGACTGGGCAACTCCAGAGCTTAGGAGGATAGTCTGGTACCAAAGACAGGGTTGCAGACATGTTGCAGATAGGCACATGCATGCAGACATATGTGGTGTGTGTGCACAATATGCATATGTGTGTGCAGACAGATGCACAGTGACACATTGTCAATGTTGATGGCCCTTCTGATCAGAGTTCAGAAAAGGACTTTCATGTTCTTGTCTGAAACCCTTCACCAGTTCTGTTTCCTTCTTGCCCCAGTCAAAGTTCATGATTCTGCTGTTTCTGTCTTTCCTTCTTATCTCATTCCCAGTGATATGCTAGAAGTCCTGAAGGTGTTTTCCTCTTATTTCTCCTTGGTTTAGCCCTAGTAACACGTTTTAGGCCAGGTTGAATAATTCATATTGTCCTCGTCCTTCTCATGGCTCCTGTACTCCAACACTTGGTCAGACAGCCTGTGTAAAACTAGCAGGGCTGTAGCTCTTTTCTTTATTCCATCTGTAGAGGTGGTGAGGCACAGAGCTCCACGCACTGAATCTCTCACCTGTTGCCTCTGGGTCAGGTATTTCAGAGACAGCTTTTTATTCCCCATGAGAGTCCTTGTACCAGAGGGAGCTCATGCACAGTGGGACCTATCTATAAACTGCTGACAAAAGTCAGCTTTTCTTCTCTGGTATTCTTTGTGCTGGTTCCCACCTCTGCAGGGGCTGCTGAGTGTTTGTGTTTATAGCAGCTCAGTGACAAAGCTCATGAGCGAATGCAGGGCAGCCCAAACCAGTGACTGTGTATGTGCAAAGTGACCTGTGGGAGGCACTAGAGCTGGGTTAGGTAAAGCCCTCTTGAGAACAGCCCTGTGCAGGTCTCTGGCATCCTTTTCAGTTTTTAAATACAAGAAATAAACGTGTATTTTTGCATTCATTAGTCTGAGCACAGTAGAGCAGACCTGCCCCAGTGGTATTCTCTTTATTCTGTGTTTCTTTTCCCCTGTGCCATACTCTTCTGTGTTTGTGGAGGGGGTTTTCCCATGCTAAGAGCTGGCAATGTGTGAAAACCTTTTGTCACATTGCTGTAGTACGTGAATTGCTGCTGCTGTTAGCTCTTGTCTGCACTACTGGTGCTAACTCAGGGCTGACGACCCGGAGGACCCCACCATGACTTGTTCTTCTTTCCCCATTTCTTTGCAGGACAATCCATGGGCTGATATACAATGCACTGAAGCTGTTCATGGAGATGAACCAAAAGCTTTTTGATGATTGCACGCAGCAATACAAGGCAGAGAAGCAGAAGTGAGTACGAGATTCTTGCCAAGTAACTTGAGCTCATGTTGGAGTCTCCTTGGTGTACAGTAACAGATGGTAGATGCCAGTAGGCAGAGGGGAGATGGAAAGGTGGTGCAAATCATGCTGTCAAAAAGTAGGGTCCCTCACCAATAACTCTGTGGAGGGATGAGAAAAGGTAAAATGCATGCCCTCATAAAAACCCTCCTAGTTCTGCTGGAGCAGGTAGTTTGGAAGAGAGTGACTGAGTTTTCTGGGTCATGAGGAAATAAATGGCAGTGTAGAAGATACTCAGCTTTGCAGAGATGTTTGTGCTCTTGCCAGAGGAATCCTGCTGCTTCAGAAGCACTTTTGTAAAGAGCTTTGCTGTGGTGAGCACACTGCATTTTCAATTTCCCAGTAATAAAGGTGAGAAAATACCTGGAATTTCAAAGAGCAAATGATGGGGATAAAAATCTGAGCTCAGCAAGTACCAGTACCATGATGCTGCAAAGAGGAAAAAGCTCCACTTTTTCTGCTTCCTTGTGCTGGTTTTGGTGCCTTGTGAGCCGAGATAGTTCAGTAAGCAAGAAGGAAACTATTTTCTTTCCCTAGGTCTCTTTTCTGCTGACTTAGTGACATAAAGTAGTGCTGCTCACTCCTGGATGAGCCAAGGGGGCCACAGAGGTGGCAGTGGGGGGAGCAAGACTAACCCTTCCGGTCAGTGGGGAGCTCTGGGAGACGTTCAGTTGTTCTTGAGCACTACAAGGTGATTGCATTCAGCTCTGGGGCTCCCAACACAAGAGGGACATGGACCTGCTTGAGCGAGTCCAAAGGAAGGCCACAAAGATGTTTTCTGCTTGTGTTAAGATGATATTTTTTCCTCTCTCCAGTGCTTCTCTGACCAATTATGCTTCAGAAAACCTTGTGTTGGGTTTTTATCAGGGTTATACATTTTGCTCTCCTAGATAACCAGATTTGGTAAGATGTCAAAAGCAAACTGAGAGTCTCTGAAGGACGGAGCAGCTCTTCCCCCTCGCCTGCACTTTCCTGCTGTCTCTTGCTTTTCCTGTGAGTGAAAGATGCACTTTCCCCAGGAGTTCACACTGTGCTTTCTCTCTCTCTGCAGGGGAAGGTTCAGGATGAAGGAACGAGAAGAAATGTGGCAGAAAATAGAGGAGCTGGCACGGCTGAACCCCCAGGTGGGTAACAGCAGGGCCTAAGATGAATGAGACAAGAATGTGGGGGGTCTTGACCTACCTTCTCAGCTTGTGAAAGCAGGCTCTAGCACCTGATCTCAGTCCTGTGCACGCAACTGCAGTGGTGGTCCCTCCCTCCCAAAACACAGGGTCGTGGGGGTGCTGGTCATGTAATGCCTTATAGGGAGCAGGTACATGTTTATATGTGTATGGACTCCTCTCTCAGCTGTGGCTGTACACACATGGTGCCATGGCTCCTGCACTGGGTAGGAGAAGATGCTCCTTTCCTGTCTGTGTACCTGCTGCTATCTCTGTGGGTGCCAGAGAAGTATGCTGTGCTGTGTTAAGATGCTGGGGGAGAACGCTTGGTGTTGGGTGGCATGCTGATTCTCCAGCTGTCTATGTTGTCTGCAGTACCCCATGTATTACGCACCTCCACCATTGCCTCCTGTCTGCTGTATGGAAACGGAGACCCCGACTGCAGAGGACATACAGCTACTGAAGAAAACAGTGGAGACAGAAGCTGTGCAGGTGTGTAGGTGACATGGGGCCTTCCACAGCTACTCTCAGACCAGAACAGTCAGTCCAGGGTCCAGTTTCCAAGTGTTCTGAGGGGAAATGCCCCAACTCTCATCCCTGATCTTTAGATACCAACTCGTACTCTGAAGAGTGGGGTTTATCTCACCTTCCCGCTCTGGAAAAAAAGTGCAAGTGGGACTTCCCACCTCCTTTTGGTCTGTGTTTGGCTCTCAGCCTGTTCCACAGCATCTTGTGGTGTCGCCCAGTATATCCCAGAGCAGCTGGAGGCAGAGCATGGCGGGGCTGGAGGCGGGGAGGAGTTTTCTGCTGACTCCTGACTCCTTTGGTTTGTCTGCAGATGCTGAAAGACATTAAGAAGGATAAAGTTTTGCTGCGCCGGAAATCTGAGCTTCCTCAGGACGTCTACACTATAAAAGCCCTGGAGGCCCACAAGAGAGCAGAAGAGTTCCTCACCTCAAGCCAGGAGGCAATCTGACAGGCTCAGGAGCTGGCTCGGGAAGCTCTGCCCCATCCCTTTCCCCCAGGGGTCACGGAAACACACTCAGTTCTCATGTATAACTAAGGAATGAACATGGTGAGCTGTGCCTGTCCTCCACTCCATCTGCATCCCTCCAGGGTAGAGCTGGGTTTACGTTATAACTTGTATCTTACCACTGTCATGTCCTTCTGCTTTTCCTCCTTTCTTCTGCTTTTCCACCTTGGGTGTGTGTGCGTGAAGGGAGCCTGCCTGCCCTGCCATCGTGTCAGCCCGGGTAGGAGCTGCTTCATTCCCAGCTGCCACCTGATCCTTACTCTGCCTGGGAGCCAGACCCCACTGCCCTGGCTCTGCATTGGCCAGAGGTGACCGCGTGTGGCTCAGCGTGCTGCTGCGATCCCCAAGTGCCAAGGCTCTGCCGTGCCTGCCCTGTGCTGCCTGTGCAGCCAAGCCCTGCCGTGCTCAGGGGTTGAGCTGAGCATGGGGCAGAGTTTTGGGGAGGCTCTGCTGCCTCTCTGCCCTGCCTTGGGGTGCAGCTCTGCAGCTGGAGGGTCTTACATACACCAGAGATGTCTGCTTCCACCTTTCTTTTGCTTCAAGCCCCTTGTTCTGTTCCCCTGTCAGTGGAGTGGGGGTTCAGTGCTTTGCCACCCCCAGTAAAGCTGGGTGCAAGCACTACATACTATTGCAGCCCTCCCTTTAGAGCATCCTTAGAAGCTCTCCTGTGGGAAAGTGAATTCCTTCAGCTGTTTGTGTTGGTCCGTACTGACTTGTCTCCATCACGGTGTCTTGGGTTAATTGTGGGCCCAGAATTAGCTTCCTGCTTTGTAGCAGATGTCAGCCACTGACTTTGCTTTCTTCCTCTACCTGCTCAATTAAAATACTCCTGTAGCTCTCCCTTTATTGCTATAGCTCATCCTTTGCTCTGCAGTGGCCAGGGTTTCTAGGAAGCTTGTGCTGCTAAAATAATTTCTGCAAACTAGTGGAAGCAATGGATACACATCACGGGGCCAGGCTGAGTTTCTGAGTATTCAGTTGTCTCCTCTCTGTGATCAATGGCTTGGTGCTACTGCTGAACTGCTTCCATGGGTGCTCTGAGAGGAGTCCACCTTGCCCTGTCACTCTGGCACCTGCTGTGGCAAGAGGCCCTTGTTAGTTATCGTACGGTGCATCAGGGACTTCTTGTGCTAATTTAGCCTTTAGAGCACACTTGGGTGCTACTGTTATCCAGCTTTCTCCCTACCTTTTTTTGATGCAGACTCAGTGCCAGGCCAAGGTGCCACCTCAAAGGGGCCAGCTTGTGATAGCAAAGGGAGTCTTCCTCACTTCTTACCTGCTGCGCCTGCTTTCTTGACACATCAGCTTAAGTGGGCTTGCAATAGCTTAGGGGGTCAGTGCTGGTCTGATGCTGCTCTGCAGCACTGTGGGATGTTGCAGAAGGTCCTGGTGTTATCTTCTGTCCTCACCAGTAAACCATTCCCAGGTCAGAGGTTCGTCCCCTCTACTCTTACTGCTGGTGTGCAGCATATCTTTCCTCCGACCCAACCAAAGCTGGTTTTCCCCCGTGCATCCTGCACCCCGTGCCCCCTTTGCCTCTCAGTTCCCCACAGTAAACATGCCATCACCTCTTGGGAGCAGCTGGCGAGCACAAGGACACGCGAGACCACCCTCTCAGCCACACAGGGCCCCACCACCTCCCCTCCGCTTCGCACAACAGGCCAGTTCATCAGGAGACTTACCAAACACCTCAGGGAGGTTATTACTTATTTTGAACATTAGTTCAAGCTCATGGTCAGCTGCCAATCAATTACCTCATGCCTGGCACAGCATGTAGACGTGCTCTGGGTGATGCTGGATGGCACACAGGAGCGGCGGGCACCGCAGGGACAGGGGACTGCTCAGTGTCCCCTGCAACAGGGCTCGGGCTGGGCAGGTTTCCTCCCGGGGCAGTACAGGCTTTCCCGATCTGTGTGCTTTGCCTTGCGTTACAAGCCACCACCTCCTTTTCCGTGGAGCCTGCGCACTGCTAGGCAGCAGCTGCTCTTCCCTGCCTGCAGAAGGAGCAGAGTTGCGGTGCACAGAGGCTGTCGCTGCCCTACCGATGGTCCGTCTCTGCCGACAGCCCCTGACCTGTGGCCAGAGGAACGGGCCGTGGCAGGATGGGTCCATGTCCTGGCTACATGCTGTACAGCTTCGATGTTCTCATAGCTTTGTGTGTCTTGTTCTGGGTCAGGGAACTTCTGCTTATCACCATTAGTTTCCTGCCTATTCATTCCAGTGTCCTGGACACCTAAGAAGGGGACCATGTGAGAAAGGGGGGAACGTGTTCGCCCTCCCCACCACGTGTACTGCTCTGCGCAGACCTGTGTCTGCCACGCTGCGGCTGCCCCGTACTCAACCTTTGGGTTCTAGCATTAGTGCTGCTCATCTCTGCCTCTCCCCACGTCAGTCAAATGGACAGAACTGGAGCTGCCTCTTCCACTTCACCTGGCGCCCTCCTCCCAAGGGAACAAGCAAAACTAACTACTGCATCCACCCCCGGACACAAGTATTAAGCTGCTTACAGTTCATATGTACATATGGTGTACTTTATTTTCAGTAGAGCATTACATAGTATGAAAGTGTTGGATTTTGTACAGATGTCCCTGTATGTACAGAACTAAATAAAACTGATCTCTTGGAAAGACAACATTGGACTCCACCTCTGCTATTCCAACACACAGCCCCCAGCCTGGGGGGTCAGGCTTTAAGTGTGGAGAGGGCTTCCAAATCCAGTGTTTGTCCCAAGGAAGCCTGGGCAAAGTCAGCCAGGCCCCCTCCCTCCTCACACACACTCAAAGGTACAGAAACCCATGGCCAGGCTCCTCGGAGGCAGAGGAAACCAACACAAGGACATCACAGCAACTTACGTGCCAGCCAGAACCAGGAAGGACAAGCACGAAGGGAAGTGGGACAACCTGGGAGGTGGATGTTGGCCGGTCCTGTCGATGCCCAGCTCCAAAGCAGCGGGTGCTGCATGGCAGAGGGAGGGCCGAGGTTGGGAGCCCCTGCGCCGCAGAGTGCCCATCACTTCCACTCGGGCCTGGGAGCGCCGAGGCCGTGTCGGGCCTGCAGCGTGCGCCGCACCACGTCCTTCCACTGGTCCTCCGAGATCTGGCTGGCCCAGGCCGGGATGCCCAGGCTCGGGAGCTTCACGCCGGCCATCGTCCTCTTCACCAGCTCCACGTGCTCTGGGAACAGAGAGGCCGTGAGGCCGCGGCAGGGCACCGGGAGGGCGCGGCCGGAGCCGCCGTTACCTGCGTCCATGGGGATGGAGGTGCGGCTGCTCTGAGCCGCGCCGCCTTCCGCCGCCGCCTCCTCCTCTTCCTCCTCGTCCTCGCTGTCCGCCGGCGGGTCGGGCAGGTGCAGCCTCAGCATCTGCAGCGGGAGGCGGGCAGCGGGGGTCAGGCGCGCTCCGCCGGCTCCCCTCAGCCCCGGCCCGGCGCTGGTCGGTACCTGCAGCCGCTCCTGCAGGCCGGGGCCCGCCTCAGCGGCGGGGGGAGGCCCGTCGGCAGGGCCCTGCTCCGGCTCCTGGCTCAGCGGCTGGTACAAGTACCCGCCGCCTCCTTCCTCTTCCTCTTCCTCCTCCTCCTCCTCCTCTTCCTCGTCTCCGCTCCATCCCGCCGCGCCGTCAGGGGCCTCCGGCGGCCCCGGCTCCTCGGGACACACCCGCTCCGGTCCCATACTCCGCGGCCCCGCCATGCACCGGGGGAAGCCCCGGCCCCTCCCGCCGCCGCCCGGAAGCGTCGCCGCGGGGCCCTGTGGGTGCCGTAGTCCCGGGCCGGGAGGCCCCGCCGCCGCCCTCCGCTGCCGCGCCGGGCTCCGCAGGTTCCGAGGGGCCGGGCCGAGCCGAGCCGGGCGGGGCGGCGCCGGACTACGAGTCCCAGGGAGCGGAGGGCAGCGGCTGTCGGAGCGGGGCTGCCCGGCCGGCCCGGGCCGCCTTCCTGCAGCCAGGTACGGGGCTGAGGGGAGCGGGAGCTGCCGGGGCTGTGGGGTTGGAGCTACCGCTGAGCCCCTCTGTGAGGCCCTCGGGCGGCGGCTGGAGGCGCGGGGCGGCCCCGAGAGGCTCGGGGTCGGCCTCGTACCCCGGCTGTCGGGCGCTGCCCTCCTGCACCCCCCGCCGGGCCTTCGCCCTCCATCCCCGCCGGCTTGGCCAGTTTCGGCGCGGGTCGGGCTGGTTTGGGGCCGTGTTCCCTGGTCCTGCCCGGCGGGCGCCGCACGGAGGGTCCGGTGTGACAGAGAAAGGGAACACAGGGCAGCGTGTGAGGCACAGCCGGCCACGTTAGCGGCTCACCCTCGCCAGGGCTGCCTTCGGCACAGCACAGGCAGTTCGGCAGCGGCCAGAGGCCGAGATCAATTCCAGGCGGAGGGGAAGGGGTCGAGGAATGTCTCCGAAGCTCAGGGGCGCTCCGTAGGGAAGCGGCAGTGGGGCTGGGGCGGCAAAGGGAGGAAGGCGAGAAGCCAGCTCAGTAGGAGCAGGCTCTGAGCTGGGCTTTGGGCTAAAGGCGGTCAGCGGTGAGCAAGGTATGTGGGCAATAAACGAGGAGGTGGAGCTGCGGTCGGCACGGAGGGACACGGGGATGGGTGCGTGGACCGTGGTTCCCGTGTCTGACGTGAGCTTCCACATCGGTCCGAGTTAAGCCCAGGGGCTGTTCTAGCACCGTCTGCTTCGCTGGTGCTGGAATTGCGAGCATCCGAGCCGCTGAATGTGCAAGCTTGCAGTTTCACGCGGCCTTAGCATAAATAGGCAAAGCATCAGATAAATGTCAAGCACGAGTGAAGAAAGCGGCTGGTTCTTGTGCTATCTCTGACAGTAAGTTGGATGTGCTTGAAATAGAACGGTCTGCATGGGCTGCTGCGAGCTGGCTGGGCTATTTTAGGTGTTACTAACCCGTGTGGCTGGCATCTTCGGGGAGACGGGACCGAGGCAGCCACACGGTAGGATTTGCGCTCTGGAGCAGCTCTGCAGGGGCAGGAGGCTGCTCGACTTGGGGGGGGGGGGGGGGGGCTGTAATTTTGGGGGTGACAGGAAATCCAGGCCACTTTCTGCTGGGTTTCTCTCCTTGCTTTGGGAATGGGCTGCAGCAAAGTTGATCTGAGCAGCTTTCGGGAATGGCTCTAGGTTTCTGTGTGTGTGTGCAAAGGAGCAAAGCGGACTCTTTGTGTGAAGGAGTGGAGCTAAGGGTGTATGTTTTTGTTGTAAGATTGTAAGCTGGCTGCTGCACTTGGAGTTGGTCAGTGGCTTTCTATCTCGAATGGAATGTTTTCGTGGTTGGAGAAGAGGAGACTCTGGGGAGAGCTGATAACAGCCTTCCAGTATCTAAAGGGGCCAACAAGAAAGGTGGAGAGGGGCTTTTGACAAGGATCTGTAGGGATGGGACAAGGGGGAATGGCTTTAACCTGACAGAGGGGAGATTGAGATGAGATATTAGGAAGAAATTCTTCTCTGTGAGGGTGCTGAGGCCCTGGCACAGGGTGCCCAGAGAAGCTGTGGCTGCCCCATCCCTGGCAGCGTTCAAGGCCAGGTTTGACAGGGCTTTGAACAACCTGGTCTAGTGGAAGGTGTCCCTGCCCGTGGCAGGGGGTTGGAACTGGATGAGCTTTAAGGTCCCTTCCAACCCAAACCAGTCTGGGATTCTATGATCCTGAGTGCTGCAGGGGAGGGGGAGAGGAGAGGGTGTCACTGTAACAGCTTTGGAAGGTTTGCTAGTGAGGAATTGAGTGATTTTCTGGTGCTCTGAGGTGTACACTGAGGCATATGGATAATAGTTTCTTCAGGCATTATGTGCGTTTCAGACAGCAGCACAGCCAGACCTGTTGTCTGTAGGTGCTGTATTTGAAGACCAGGGAACTGAAAAGCCCCAGGTCCCTTTGCTGGGTGCTTCTGCTGACAGAGAGCAAGGGCAGTGTTGAAGGATGTCCAGAGATACTTCTTTGCAAACAGCCCTGTGAGCTTCCACTCGTGACAGCACGCCTGACACAGCGACAGAGCTGCTCTGCAGTCACCCCGTGGCAGTTGTTGCACCACGTACTCTGGAAGCGCGTCCCCTGTGTTGCTGTGCCCGGCCATTGAGGGCTTCAGGTGGTGACCACAGCAGGTTATTTTGAGCACTTCTTAATTTTAGCTTCCCTGTGCTCGGTGGCACAGGAACAACTCGTTGCTGTGGTCACTTAATTGCCAGCAGCAGCAGCATCAGGTCCTTCAGCAGTAGGTGAAGTGTCACCTGGCTTTGGGAAACGTTCCTGTCCCTGGCAGTTAATGACAGGACCTACCCAGGCTTTCAACCCAAGTTCCTCTGCATTCTACGTGCTTGAGTGTAGCTCTAGATGGACAGTGCCAGCAATGGGCTGAACGAGGAGCTGGGGCTGGAGCAGCTCTGGGGAGGAGAAGGGTGGCTCAGCAGGGCCCAGCAAAGGGACACACGCTGAGCTCCGTGTCTGCATAGATGCAGAAGGCAATAGCTCCTAGTGACAATAGCCTCTGAGGTCTGAACAATTCAAGCTTCATTTTGCAGTGCACGTGAAAAAGCACCTGGTTTGCCTGAACTGGGACGTGCAGCACCTCCTGCAGCCAGTGCCCTCCAGTTCTCTGGCACAGTTTGCCTCCATCTAATCAATATTCCTATGGTTTCTACCCTACAGCCCTGCTGCTGGTGTCCTAAATGAGAAATCCCAGAGTGTATTTTGCATAACAGTTGGGGGAGATCGTTAGTAAATGTTTCATGTCGATTTTGCTGCTCCCCTTTCCCCCCCCGGCTGTGCCCTGTGTAATCTTTAAAGAAACCTAAGGCATCCTGCCTAACGCCAAATGTATTAATGCCTCATTGGAATGAGGTTGGAAGGTGGTGTGTTTATGTCCTCATCTATGTCGTATGAATTACCATTGGATTACAATGAAATGTAATAGTGTGCATAGTTGTAGGACAGAAAATAACTCTTTTTTTTCTTAAAAGATGTGTTTGACTCATGTTTGCAGATAGTGCAGAGGGAGGAATGGCAGCAGGAAAATTGGCTTTGGGACAGGAGACTCGCCCTGTGAAAGGATTTCCAAAGAAGGCAGGAGAGGAGAGAGGCTGGAGCTGGATGGGGGAGTGGGGAGTCCTCAGGAGATGGGGCTGACCCTGTGTGTGGCTGAAAAGGGGAGAGCAAGTGCTTGGCTTGGGGTGGTTTTGGGGTTGTGGCCAGTGGCAGAAGAGGAAGACTGATGTTTTTACTGCAGTGTAGAGAAGAGCAGTCAAGTTTGGAAGAACCCTGCTAGCTTGCTAAATCCTGTGTTTTCCTTTACCTTTTAATACATGATCCTGTAAGGATCACTTCACACTTCTGATTCATTCCTTTCATGGAAAGAAAACAGCATTCCTGCGTGCCCTGGGTCTGAGGAGTGGCAGCCGGAGGCTGTGCTGGTAAAGCTTCCTGATGTGTTTGCTCTGAAGGGGTATCTCCGTCCCAAGCTAAGGCAAAGCGTGGCCAACTTCAACCCCATCACGCCCACCGCTGGCCCAGGGAATGGTTATCTCTGGGAAAACCTATCCCAGTAACTGTGATGTAGGAAAGGACAGCACGACACTGTTGCTACGACATCAGCATCCTTTTCTACAGTGTTGTAACCAGCTGGCCCTTGGGCTGCTGCCTCTCAGTGACTGGGTTAAT